GCGACATGTCGCGATTATGCGACATGTCGCGATTATGCGACATGTCGCGATTATGCGACATGTCGCGTTTTTGCGACAGACATCTAGCGGCACGACTGAGAAACACGCGAAATGCCGTGAGATATTCCATCATCATGAAAACAGACCCTCGCGCGCCAAGAAATAAATGCCCAGTATAAAGGGGGTGTTAGCAACTGGAGTTCAATATCAGACAATTTTCAGTCGCTGACCTTTAAAAATTACAGATTATCAATATTATATTATAAGACGATATGATACGATGACGAAGATGCCAAAAGAGAAGATAGTGAAGGAGAAGACGACGGCGGAAGAGAAGTCGATGGAGAAGGCGAAGAATACGACGACGACGATGATGATGATGATGATGATGATGATGATGAAGAAGAAGAAGAAGAAGAAGAAGAAGAAGAAGACGACGAGAAGAAGGACATGATCAATATAATTGAAAAGCAATGGCAATGAATGGATACAATTGGAAATGGCGTGCCTCTGGTGACATTCCAGAAAGCATGACATGATGCAATTCAGAGGATGTTTGACAATTTATCATGTATCTGAACTGGAAAGCCATTTGCGTCTGGTCCTTATGGAAATCATTTACCACCGCTCAGTAAATGTTTTCGTTTTTATTGCAAAGTAATGTTTTTTGTTTCTTCGTGAGAACAAAACATCCCTGTATAGCCATTAAGAATTAAAAGCCAATTTTATAATATATTTATACTTATTCCTGACATTTTTATTACAATAAAATTCCTATAATTCTTACTATAAAATTCACAAAATGAATCATCACTGATAGACGCAGTTATTTCTAGTTTCATGGCTCACCTTTCATGACTTGGACATACAATGGTTTCACAACATTATCATCTGGTAAAGCATATATTTTTCTCTGTAGGAGGAGTAGCAAGTATTTCCATTCCACTTCAGCAACAAATTTATTCTAAAAATAAGAATAATGTTTTGCAAAATTTATATTATAAAAGTTCAAGTTTTCAGAAATGAGAAAGCTAATTCTGAACACTTGGAATTATCAATATTACTTTGGCAAACTGCAACAGAACTTGTGGACAAAAATTCATAAGAACTGTGGCTCCTTCTCGAGCTGGTAAACACAGAACTTGAAGACTGAGATTCCCATACAGCTGAGGATGAGACTGAACAAACTGGTACACTTCAACTAAGCACTCCTTTGGTAAACGAGAAGAACACAGTAATGCCTGTGAAAATAAATATTACAATTTGAAACTGACATACAAAAGAAATAAGCCAATACGAAATACACAATAAATAAATACAACAATAAAACAACATAAAGAATAATGAGAATAGCAACATTTTTCGTTTTACCTGTAATTTAACTAGACTTTCACTATTTTGAGAATTATCTTCATTACATGTGTGTTCAGTCTCTTTTTTACCACTTTGCATGGACATGAGTTTCTTTGACAGGCTAGGAGCAAATGGAGGCATTTTTTGCAAAAACAGCAAATGCTTATCAATAAATAATATTGAGGATTGCTTCAGTAATACAGAAAGGGTTTTATTTTGCTGCTTTATTGAAGAAGAATCACTATTAAGTTTTCTCGCAGAGTTAGGTATATCACATCTTTGTAAATCACTCAAATATGATCTAACTAATATTTTCAATGCTTCCACAGTAGGGGCATCATATGATGTAGTTGGAAGCGTAAAATACCAAGCAAAGTACTTTTCCAAAAATATTTGTAAAACTAGACTAGCAGTTGATCCTGTTATTCCAATTCTTGATGGAATGTACTCAAGGAAAACCTGGAAGTCAAAAGCATGTTTCATTTAAATCCACAATAATTTCATCCCAAGAACTTCCAAAAATGAAAGTTCACAGTTTACTTACCTTCAAAATGTCATGTAAAGTTACTTTCTGGTTTGTCAAAATTGCCAATGTTGATAAGATATTAGCCAGTACAACAGGTTTGGTATCCATCAAAACAACTGATAGTTCCGAAAAAGTTAGAACAGTTTCTGTCCTCCTACAATGAAACCTCTTTTATAGCTCTACAGTTTATAGGGATAATTTCACCCTACAATGAAAAATTCAAAATACTTACATGCTGAGCCCCGTAGGCATGTTCACATTGGGAATACTTGAAGTTGTCTCAAAGAGAAGAGAGCTATTTGAGAGCAAAATATCACTTAACTGTTCTTCTGGTAAAGAGTCTAAGACTGCAACAGCCTGACCCGGTGAGCCTTTCTGAATGCATAATAAAACCAGAGCTACAGCATCACTGGGTTTCGGCAAAAGTCTAAACAAAGAACCTTCAATGGAGTAATCAAAGTTTACAGAACATATAAGCAAGTAAGAGGAGCTTTGAATAGAGTTCAAAGGTACAAATGAGTAATCAACTTAATTACCAAATTCTAATGAATGTCACATTTTACACGAACTTAACATTGCATATAAAAATGTAATTACATTTTCATTTCCTTCAATCTCTATTTCCCTTTCTTACTCAAATATTTCTCAGTAAATCAGACTAAAGAAACGCTTCCTTATGTTTCTATGTCAATTAACGAGATAGTTGTACTTCCAATACCAAAGGTATGAGAATAAAACATTTTGATTCATTTATCTTACACAAAATATTCCTCAGAAAATCATAAAAATGAAACCATTCCTAAAGTTTCTACGACAAGTAATGAGACAGAAGTTCTTCAAAAGCAAAAAGGATGAGACTAAAATCATTCGGTTTTTATATAGGTGTTTTTTACCACAATCTAGTGAGCTGTAGAAGAGTGAGGTGCACAACTGCACGTGCTATGCAGTCCAGAAAGGGTACTCCGGATAAGATGGTAAAACATTTCCTAAAGCCAAAGGAAATATGAGTAATAAAACTAAGACTAACATAAAAACAAGATTTTGAAAGGCTTCGTAGCCGCCCCTTCCACCATCCCCACCGTTCTTCACCCAACTAGTAGAGCTTAAACAACGCGTACTTTCTCCCCCGCATTCTCACGCAAAATTATGCGAAAAGTACTGTATTTGTAGTGCAGTTCACTACCGTAGGGTCATTGCGGTACGAACATGCGACTGGATTTACTTTTCATAGTAAAAAGAATAGAAGATGAGCGACGAAATTTAGGGCTAACTCTTTTTATGTGCTTTCATAAAGAAAGAAAAGCTTCCAGCTTGATTTAACTTTTGCAACACATTTTCAGATTTCGTTTCAGTATATCAAGATACTCAAATCTATCCACGTTATCTTCGATAAATAGAGCTACCCGACATCCATGTAGGACATGCATCCCACACTATTTCACTACCACCTCCATGTTTGACGGTTGCTACCATTGTGCCATTGTTCTTGGGCTCCCATTGTGTTCACTTTGCGTCATACTAAACTGCGGCCAATTGAGTTGTACAGGTTCACTCCACAAAATCTTGTGCAAAAATTGTGGACAAATCCCTCTGCGAAGACCATACGCTTTCTTGCATTAAGTTTATACACGAAAGGATTGCGCCGTAGAACTCTGGCATAGTACCCCGCACTGTTCAAGAGTCTGCGAATCGTTCGAACGGTGACATCGGTACTAATGCCTGCTGCCACTTCTGCTGCTATTGCCGTTTTCCGCAAGTTTTATTGTACCATTTTCCCTATGTGCCTCGTGTCCCCTATTCGTCAGTTTCTGTGAACGACTAATATACGCTTTCTCTTCTTCCCATCTCTTAACGATACTAAATATGGGTTTCCGGCTTTCGTTTACCACCTTGCCTATTTCAGCATATGATTATCCCTGGCTATGCTGATTAAAGATAACTTTTATCTTTTCCACTGTCGTTTCCCTACGTTTCCTAGATATGTCAGTCTTTCAGAGTGTACGCCTTGTGTATGGGACAACCGCCTGACATACACTGATACGTTTTCTGTCGCCGAATCGCGCTTTATGACCGAGCTTCTATTATCAGTTGGAGCGGCGTCTGAATACTTTTGTCACGCTTATTAAACACGTCAATGAGATTAAAGCGGAAATATCCGTTAATACATATACTGTACGTTGGTATTGGCATAGCCGTATTTCTAAACGGGGTCCGCAGTACCGTACCTTCACACATCCAATAGTCATCAATGGAGGAATGAAAATTGACAGGCTTATACATCGGCAATCTACGTCTGAATACTTTAGTCAGCCTCTGTAGAAAAAATGTTTCCTCGCCACTCAGAGTTAGCATGCGATCTGGTAGGATGAAACATTGTATCCGGGCGCTAGACGAAATGCAAACAATAAGCCAAAAGAAAAGGTTTTTATGTCCTAGTTCCAGGTAACTCCCCTTTTCAGTACTTGTCGACTGGACTACCCACAGGAAGTAACCTTGCGAAATGTGGCAATAACCGTTTCGAAGACCTTGTGAAAATCACTTCAAGCTTAGACTCCCGGGATGAGAACATGCAAATATGCACATATTTCTTACGTTTGGTCACCTGCAGGAGTGGTCAATGGCTCATTTTACTCTTCTCGACAAGATGAATCGATTGACACTATTTTCAGTCGGGCCCTTCCAGACTATTCTGGAAGAATTCTAGGAAAAACGTGTTCTTTACGGAGTGAGGGGCAAGGCACCAATACTGATGGAACGCTGTTTAGTACAATATTGCCATAAAGTAACATGAATAGTTGCACTTTGGTTCGCCAGATTGACAAGTTTGCATTCCAATTTTACAATGAAACAGACAAATTTTAAGTGTTGTATCGATGCCTATTCACTTAACTACACGACCAAAGAAGGACGAGCCTGACAACTGTCCTTAATGTTTAAAATGTCTACTTGTTTCGATCTTTTACAGCACACACAAATAGTGCAACAACTGCACACCTTTTTCATGTTATAAGTACCGGGCACATACTATTATGATACTGCCAATAGTCTCCTTATTCTTCAGTTATATCGCGAAACACTTCATAAAAAAAAGAGAGATTCAAATTTGAAATTTTAAACGTTTTCGAAATTTCGCAAGTATTAATGATCGGACACAACCATATTTACAAGCGTTTTGTTCTCAACTAGCGGCAAGAATCTTAAGAAAAACTATTAAAGCACTTTAGAAAATATGTTTGAGTTAAAATTTGATCTGCGTCAATTATTCAGCGTACATTGATGTTATAAGTTATACAAATACTCCGAGAACAATATATAAAGAAAAATATAGTATTTTTTAGAAAAAATAAAAAAAATAGATTTATGTAAAGAACCTCCAAATAATAAAATACACTGGTGTTTGTGAAAATTGCAACACCCAGAAGGCATGGTCGGAATAACTTAATCGGCAATGTGTGGAATAGTGTATCCATAAGACGCGATTAAATGTGTACAGAGATGGAGTGCACGTTGGCCTAGAAGCGCCTTCCTTTGTGTGACAGGTCAGGCCAGTATTACGCCACATTGTAAGTGAAGAGTCGTAAAACGACGTGGAATAGGGCACGTACCAGTATGCCTCGTCGGCGCCAAAGGACGCAATATCAGCTTTTGACTGAGTTCGAACGAGGCAGTATGATCAGTCTCCAAAAAGCGGGTTGGCCGTACCAAGACATTGGAGCTCGTACAGGGCGCACGTCAGTGATGCGTATGTGGAACCAGTGGATAGAGGGTCGTACACAACGACGAGCGGGTAGTGGACCACACAAGGTGACTACAGCGCGAGATGACTGCCTTCTTGTCCACGTGGCCATAACAGACAGAGAGGCGTCGCCCAGTGTGTTAGCTAGACTTAAGAGCACTGCAACGGAAGTGGTGATGTCTGCGTCGTTGATTCGACGTCAGCTGCTGCGGGATGAACTGGTGGTACTCATACCACTGCGTTGGATTCTGTTGACCAGAAACCACCAACGCCTCAAACAGCAATGGTCACGTGGACGGGTTCATTGGTGTGCTGAATCACAAATATTTCAGCAGGACAATGCCCGACCGCATGTGGCGAGATATGTGCAAGTTTTGCGAAGAACGACGGGTACCACTGCTTCCCTGGCCTGCACGTTCGCCTGAGATGTGGCCCATCGAACATGTCTGGGACATGATTGGTCGGTGACTTGTTCTTCTGGTTCTCCTGCAGACACTGTCGGTGCTTTGTGGTCACGCATAGAAACCGCGTGGCAATATGTTCTACAGCAGCATTTCCAGCCTGTCTTTTAATCCATTCCACGTCGTCCAGAGTCTCTGATGGCAACGTGTGGTGGCTTCGCACCGTATTCAAGGTCATAATGCAGGTACAGTCCTGTAATTCGAATCATTTTTATATACTGTGATATTCCTAATCTGTGAAATAGATTTCATTGTAATAGTATGTCTCGTTCTTGGTGTTGCAGTTTTCACAAGCACCAGCGTACGTTTCAAATTCGAGGGGCTGCGATATCAGCCAGATTGATATGAGAATATAAATTATGGTGAAAATCCTGTGTACAGGTAAGGTATTGTTCACAGATTGGGAAAAATGCCAAAAACCAACGTAACCGTTACAAACACCTGAAACCGTTAGGTTTAAAGTAACCGTGACCAGAAAGTATATGTTGCAGCACCACAACGATTCTTTTTCATTTAAGTCATATATCACTTTCCGTAGGTATTGTCCGAAAACGTTTTTCCTTACTGCGCGCGAGCACGAGCGATAGTGAAAGAGCGACAGAGAAAGAGAGAAAGTGAGATAGAAAGAGATAAAGAGGAAGAGAGAGAGGGAGGGAGAGAGGGAGAGGGAGAGGGAGGGAGAGGGAGAGGGAGGGAGAGAGAGAGGGAGGGAGAGAGAGAGAGAGAGAGAGAGAGAGGGAGGGAGAGAAAGCTACAGAGAGACCGAGAAAGAGACAGAAAAGTTCACAGTAAAATCATTAAATTTCACGAAGCGATAACAGCGAACGATACACGGAGAGAGGCAGAGAAATAGACAGTGGGTGGGTGGGAGAGTGCGTGTGCGTGAGCGCGTGTGTATGTGCGTGTAAGAGGACGTGTATGTGTGAGTGCGTGTGTGAGTGCGTATGTGAGTGCGCGTGTGTGTGTGCGTGTGTGTGCGCGTGCGTGCGCGCGTGTGTGTGCGTGCGTGTGTGTGCGTGTGTGTGTGTGCGTGCGTGTGTGTGTGTGCGTGTGTGTGTGTGCGTGTGTGTGTGCGTGTGTGTGTGTGCGTGTGTGTGTGTGCGTGTTCGCGTTCCCGTATCTTCACAAGATTTGCTTCACATCCATTGCATATCAATTTTTTTCTTCAAAATCCTAAAAAAATGATTTATAAAAAAACATCATTTAAATTACTAAAGTAAATCCATTTACAATTACCTAAAGTAGGATTTATCGGGGAAGAGATGATCTTTAAAAGCACATTAAACTAAGGAGGTTTGAAGACAACAAATATGCTATTACAGACGTTAATTTTAAAAAATAATTATACTCATGAACGTCACCCATGTGCAAGTTATAAAAGTAAAATCTTTCTTACCTTGTGCAAAGCTGTTTTTTCATAATATTAAGAACTCTATCAGTGGCATACTCTCGAAGCAAACTGGATCTTAATGTTAACCAAGACACCTCATCAGGGTCATGTTCCTCGAAAAGATCAAGTAATGTATTTGTAAAGCTAGGAATTGCTGGTGTAAAGTTTGCATTACTTTCTGCCCAGTTCATATGCAGCAAGCTCTCTTTCAAATATCTCATCAGTCCTTTTACCTGTGTAATACATAGAGAAGATTTACTACACAATCTGGTTGATGCAGTAACTTACATAAACAATGTGATTCACTGCAATAAGAATTCACATACACTATTGTGTGTTGTAAAATTAAAACAAACTATACACTAGAAACATTTTAACTGACCAAGTATTGTTTTGTCGCTAACACAAATTCTTCAGGAATGTCAATCTTCTTCACACGTTCAACAACTTCTATAGGACTAAGTCCTGATAATTTGTAACATGGAATAGCAATTTCCCTATCTTCATCTGTACAGCCACTGTCAAACAAAGATACTATATTATACTAAGTAACACTTACTACTGCAAATTACAAGTTCATGAAAATAAAACAATAAATTTTAAATAATCTAGGGAGAAATATACATGGCTAAATGATTCAGCGAACAGATAAGTGACCTGAAGTTTGCATCAACAATAACTTTGAAATGAATAAATTCTCCTTCCAATTCATTTGATAATTCTAAATACATTTTGCTGGAATTACATTTTTAATTATCCTCGGCACATTTAAATACTAGGCCAACTTTCAAAATGAACAACTATATTAATTACAAGAAAATACACTAATAGCAAGCACGTGCTAGGATAGAGATATCAATATGAACATTATTAGATATTGGTGATTATTAGTGCTCTGACCAATGTCTGTCACCCACTCAACTATCAGTGATTATATTTATTAGGGTGGGTCGAAAAAATGTTCACCCGCTGGGTGTCTGGACAGAAAATGTCTAAAAAGTACCATTTCTCCCATACTTATGATATTTTGATCCATATATTGGTCTAATCCCCTATTGTTCAAGAAAATTCATACTTAGAGGTTTTTTGGGTCGCTGAATACAAACATGCCAGATTTTTAAAATTTAAAATAGCCGATTCAACATGGACAAAAATTGAATGTGGATTGATTTTTCAGAAATTTGGTGCATGGGGGTACTTTGTTTCACTGATTACTAATCTGAAATCAAATTATAAAAGTATAAAATATTATAGACGTGAAATCCAAGAAGAGCACGTCACTTTAGTACGGAAACCCAACCCGAAAAAACGCAACTCCAAAACATGGCTGCGCCAACGATTTGATGAATCCAAATTGCATTTTTATAAATAATTGAGTCGTTGATATTTTAACTATTGGTAAATTACATTTTCTCGTTTCATAATATTACCATACAAAAATTTACACCAATAATTTTGGTAATCCAGACGTAATAGGGTATGATGAAACATCGACAAACACTGACATTACATGGCGTTGTAAGACAATTTGAACCGGACCGGTAATTCATCACACTCTGGTCCAATAAGCAAATTTATTGTTTACTGTGAAAAGCTGTCGGTAGTAGACTTAGATACCGTACAACCTAAAGGGTGTTTGCCTGATATAAAATTGAGTTACCTTAGCTAGTATCAGCAGTACCTGTTGCAGATCAGCAAATCTGATCAGAAGACCTTGAAATAAAATCCCAGGTCCCATTTCACAACAGGTTGGTTGACAACAGCGAATCGATTGTTGCGTTTGTATATTGCAACAGAGAATTCTACGAAAAATTGTGAAATCTGATCGAATTCATTGTTAAAGTTTATACTACGGTTTGATTTGCAATAAAAAACCGAAATGTTATTCTGGCACTCATCATTTATATTTGACCGTTTCGATTTCAAGAAATCTTGGCAAAGATTAAAAAAAGTCATCAATCATGAATTCAACGGAACACACATTTCGCTCATTCAGAAAACATTTTACTTGCAATGACGCTTAATGATAGATTAGAGTTTCGCGTTGAATAAAATTTTCATTCACGGGTATTCTGAACAATCATCGAAGGTGCAAGTGTCATAATTGAATTTGATGCTCATGTTTACACAGATTTAATTTATTGGAAAACTGATTGAACCTCCCATAATAAAGAATATCTCGAACGAGATTTTGACAAAGTTCATCATTAATAAAAATGATAATTAAAAATGGATTATTCTTGTCATAGGCTGTCGAAAGGCTTATCAAATTAGTAAATGAAGCATCAAAATCCTTTAGTGGATATGGCGCACGTCGTAAACAATGGGAGATTAGAACAATGTATGGGTAAAAAATCATAAATATTGGGAAAATAGTACTTTTTAGCCATTTTTTAAACAATGAATAGGTCATCTAAAATAGGATTGTTCGCTAGGGTTGTTGTGGAAAAGGCATTTTAAAAATGCCGACATTTCTGATGCATCTATTGTGTTCCACAAGACCAAAGGTCAAAAAATGCGATGTTTGAGCGATCGGTACGCCCTTAAGGATGAATATTATATATAAAATTTGTTTAGCCTACAAAGATTCCTAGAGGGACAAAAGCCTCCTGTCTGAGCAGGTGTCATCGCTACGTCTTCGAACGCGCAGCTAGGCTGGTAGCGCCGTCTGTCTTCCGTTGGTCTGGCTTCTCTATGTCGTCGTATCTTTTGCCATTCTGGTCCAAGTCCCGTCTGCTGCTTCACGGAAGAAGTCCGCCCATCCCTTCTGTCGTACTGGGTGTCACCAGGCTTGCCTTGGATCCCACATAGTAACTGTGTGTGCATCTGGGTTGGTATTGCCTTGCTACGTGTCGTGCCCCACGCCATTTTAATTTACCCGCCCTTTCTACCTTCCCTATTGAGATCATCGAGCAACATCTGCAGTTTATGGCTTGAGGTGGCGAATAAAGCAATGTCTGCAAAGCGTAGGTTCGTCAGATTTCTTCCGTTGATGATAAACCCTTGTTGATCCATTTCAAGTTCCTGAATATATCTTCTAGGAAGTTTGTAAATATCTTCGGTAACATTGGGTCAGCTTGTCTGACTTCCCGCCGCAGTTGGAAAATGTCTTCTTTAGTAATCATTTTTGCTGTATTATTTCCCTATAATTTCTTAAAACATCTTGTGTATTTTAACGGGACTCCCTGGGTTCCTAATGCTTTGAATGTGGGCACATGTTCTACACTGTCGAATGTTTTTTGAGTCTACTAATACTATATGCAACATCAAATTGTGTTCCTCTACTTTTCCTATTACGTGGGATGAACGATTTATGAGCTGACGCGGCAGTACAAGTAGTATACTCTGGACAGAGCTAGTGAGATGGTAGACCTGGGAAGGCGGGAGACGACAAGGAAGGGACAGATATGCACGTTGTGAGGTGACACTCATACACGTGTCTATTATTTGGTGTACACCTTTAAATTGTAAATAAGCCAACAGTTCTAAATTATACGCTTCTTTGAATAAACCTGATTCCACATATGGGGGTTCAGCTAGGATCGTGAGTGTAAAAAGATAATCGTCGCGTTCCGAATTGGAGGTTAGAGATCGTATGCAGTTCCAGTCAAAACTAAGTAGGCGAATCGCTAAGTTGTTAGAGGCTATAGAAGCATTAGGCGTTGGTCTGTTACTTACAGGAGATATAAAGGCGCTGATTGAACGCTATTAGACCGCACTAATATTTGTCGACCTTAAAGAAGATGAAAAGCGCGACAACTGGAAGAACAAAAGCATGAAGTTTTGAATTGCATTCAAAAAACTCTGCAGCATAGAGAGTGTCCCAGTATCTGATAAAGATCGTCAGCTACTTTACGGGAAAATGATATTGTACCACACCGACGGAGTTACCCACAGAGTTACCGGAAGCATTCCACAGGGCTCCATATTGGGCCCCTACTGTGGAATGATATATGACGGAGTTCTCAGGACACAGATGCCGGAATATGCCGAGATATCGCTATTGCGGACGGCGTAGCACTCTCTAAAGTGGTCAAACATATAGAGGAAGTGGTAGAAATCGCCATTGAAGCCAAAACTTAAGTTTCCAGATGGTTAACCTGCCGGCTTGCATTTAGCGGACCACAAAACTGACAAGTAGGAAGGAAAGAGAATACATCACCATTTCAGTGGGAAACAAAAACAGCCTTTCGGGACCGTATCTGAAATACTTAGGAATCATGACTGATGCGACGATGAGATTTAGCAATCGTCTAGAGTACGTCATAAATAAGGCGGCAAAGGCGATGATGGTCTTGACGAGACTAATATCGAATGTTGGAGAACCAAGGAAAGAGCAAAGACTAGTGCTGTCAAATGTCACCACTTTGATCCTGCTATTTATTGCTCCAGTATGGGCAGAAGCAATAAATACGTCGTCGAGCAGGCAGAATATAGTCTCCGTGTACAGAAGTTTACTGAAGGTGGCTTGCGCTTACCGATAGAGCTCCTAGTGGCAGACACAGGGTTTACCAACGCCGCGGACAGAAGAAAAGAAAAAGAGCAGAAGAGAAGCGAGTTCATCATTCAGTGGCAGAGACGTATGGGTCAGCTCGCAAATGGGAGATGGACGCATCAATTCATCCCGAATTTAGAAGTATCGAAAGGGCGATCTCTTACGCTTTTACCGAACTGAAGACCCAGCATGCCCTCATTGTTTCCCAGTAGCGGCAGAACTCGTTTTCTATGTCTGCCTTCGGTTCGAAGAAGTAAGGACACATCTCTGCCAGCAATACTGACAACAACTGCAGCCCGAGAACATCGTAAGCTGGTTTTTAAGGAGAAGTGGAAAGAAGTGACGGCCTTCGCGGGGAAAATAATGCAGAAACTAAGATTAGAAGTGGGTGAGAATGGCGTCCTAGAATTTTAAAAGGCAAGGGCGCATGTCCGATACACCCTAGCAAAGAAATGCCTACCGGCGGTTCCGTGGGGTGACGAAGCCTAGGGAGGTAGTTTTAGCGAGTCAAAATTTCATACTACGGGCGTGTGGTGTCCTTTGAAGATTTCCACCTACTCTCGAAAACAAAATGCGAGGTCTACGAGCTTAATTCGGCTGGGACGGTGCCCCGCTAGGAAATAATAGAAGAATCCAGGTGGAAAAACACCCAGAAGGTGACTTGTAGGACAGCGCCGGATCTAATTACGCCTCCAACCCGACTAAAACGCGCCCAAAAAATTAAATATTCATTAGTAGGTGTGTGAATTAATGAACAAGAGGCGAGACGACAAAGAACACTTGAACAATCCCTTAAAATTTGTTACATAAGAAACAATCTAGGTAAATATCGGGTTGGCATAAAAATACCGATTCAAACCATAGATTAAGATAGATTGTGTACCTCTATCTTTTTTTGTAGTACAAGTCGAAGAGCTGTGGGAATACATCCTATTAGAATTCTTTAGACTGTTGGTTGTGTCTCACGCAATCCCGTTATAATAAAAATCCGAGGGAATGACACCTTGACGCAACTGGCTCTCAGAGACCAGAAGACAATTTTCAATCTTCCTCAATTTGTATATAGAGAGTTCTGAGAAATTAGGTAAGCAAACGTGTAAATAATGTAAATAAGTAAATACTTTTATACGTATAAATTTTAATGTGCAACTACTCGCAAAGAAAATCCGCCAACCATCTGGTTGCATATTTCTTTATTAGTGAACAATCTGCATGGATGGAAATCACACTACTCTGTTATTGTTACTATTTTGTGGAACAAATTATCACAGATGTACTTACGTAATGTAGTAATCGCCTAATAATGCACAAGATTCTTTGTACAAATCATCCATATGATTTCTATCACTTAAATGCTGGTATGGTATCGCGCATTCTTGATGAGCTTTCCAATGCAACAATGCACGAGAAACTCTCAATATTAAATGAGCTTCTCCCAGCAGGTGGCCGTAAGTTCCAGGGCTTGTCCACCGATGCATTCCTCCAACACTCATGATATCACCATACAAGGTCAGAGGACTAGGAGTTTGCAACGAATACAAAGTCCAATTACTGCCTTGAGAACTGAAAAATAAATAAACATCTTCATTAAATAATAAAGTGGTCCGGATTTAATTATGAAGCTAAACTTAAAAAAGTGGAATGTTTAAAAATTAGGTAGGAATATTAAGTTAAGTAGGAACTATTTCTAATCTGCAGAATTTATTTCTTAAAATTTCAGTTTAAACCTCACTTTTGACAACTTATTAATAAGAGGGTAATAATAATAATAATAATAATAATAATAATAATAATAATAATAATAATAATAATAATAATACGTTACAAACAGTATATTTCTATGTGCAGAATAGGTTGTTGAAAAGAGACGAGAAGATATTCTATCGCATTCTAACTCCAACACTGAATGGCAATGCTGTCACTCCTTCAAAAGACGACATCGAAACATTTTAGGCAGAAATCTGGTAGGAATGCAGGTCCTACAACGATGACGACTCTTGGCTTCAATCTGAAGTTGATGCTTGAACTTGTGGAAACAGTGTAACATATTCACGAATTCTCGGAAGAGGACTTCTTCCAAGCAATTCAGAACACGGGAAATTGGACATCATTCGAATTGATAAGATTCAAGAATTATTGAATTAAGAAATTAACAGCCTTACATTACGCATCTAGCAAAAACTGTTAATACAATTTTAGAAAATCCAAAGAACTCCCGAAATTACTCTCACGCTGCATCACGTATTTGTTGCCCAAAACGGGAGATATCTCTTTGGCCAAGAAGTACAGGCCAATAATGCCTGCCAGTAATGAACAAAGTTATAACAGCAGCCGTAGCTAACAAAATATTCAGACACCTTGAGAAAACATCTGTTGCCAGTTGAACAAAAAGGACATCGTAAAGGTTCCTATGTCTGTAACGAAATCTTGCTACTAAAATAATCTTGAACGATATAAGGAAAGGAAAATGTATTTAAACATGGCTTGGATTAACTACCAGAAGGCCTTTGGCAGTGTAATACACAATTGGATTTTGAAGATTCTGGAGATCTATCTATTTCATCCTAGCCTTAATGAGGTTTGCAAGGCCAGGCCAACAAGATGTTGACGCCATCTTACAACACTGACGCAGCTGGTTATGCTCTCGAATTTTTGTAATTCTGTCTAGTATTTTAGTGATTTGACTACATTTGGAGTGTTTAAGTGCTTCTTTACTAGTTGCACGTTACCTGAAAATATAATTCCGGCTAGTATTTTGTTATAACTAAGACAAACCAAAAGATAACAAGCTTCAAACGTTCACTGTAACCTAAACAAACATTAATTTTACGAGTTGGTGACAAATGTCAAAACCCATAAACAGTTCAGTTTCTTTTCGATATTATATCAGTGAGCTACTTTAATTGCTGAAAGAATTTATTATATATCTGTGGCGAGTGACGATCCGTTGATTTGAACTTTACTAGGACTGTGTATCTAACAGTTGTGAACGTGTTACAAATCTTATTTATCTATCTTATAGTCTACTTGTAGCAACTTTAGTAGACAACAATCTACATAACCACATTGCCAAATTTCGCAAGTACTACCTTTCAATCCATTTTGTAAATAACATACCTTCTCATTCTATTATCGAATCTTAATTTTTAATTTATTAAAAATATATCAATCCTACACTTTCAAAATATTAAGTTAGGTGCTTCATGCTCATATCCGAGTTTCTTATATTTATTCCCATTTCATCACATACATTAAAACGCATTAGTGACATGGCTACTAATCGTTCAACTCTTTACTCTCTACACCCTCAAAGCCGACCTTCTGAGAGCCTTCACACACAAACAGAAATTTAGATAAACATATTCGAAGATTGGGTGGTTCTTTACACAGACAGTTGGGTACAAGTCGGCAACACTGTGAATCTTCCCAACCGTGCACCCGTGACTGCACAAAAGATAACCACCACATCGCAACTCAAAACAAATGTAGTGTTAAATATTATGAAACAGATTTTCCTCGCCTTCCTGATCCTCAAAACCCTTTTCTAACATGGGCAAACATACGCACAAGCCAACGCAAACAGGCTAGGAAGCGCATAAAAACGTAAAGCTGAGCATCCTAGCCCACTTGAAAACAAAAACATTTCTACTAAGCAAAAAAAAAGCCGACAGCCATAGCCGCCATCTTTCCTCCATTCTCAGAACGAGGTTACCCTCCAACTACTCAGTCTCATCTATTTTTAAATCTAACGGGAGGTTTGCAGACGTGACTACAGTGTTGGACACCCATACAAAGTCACTGACCAATCAGGACACAGTCATAATAATAGGACGGCAGAATGACATTAATTTGGGCGGTAAATTTACTACTGAACAAGTAAACAAATTACGTGCCGCTGAAAACACTAACATTGTAGTCTCGCCTCTGCCCTTCTGGTACAACAGACCAACACTATGCAGCGAGATTAAGCACGCAAACCAACAATTAAAACTGCAACTGAGAGAAACAAATGTTACACTTTTTGAAAATAATTTCTGTCACTGCCGGGCCACACTACGAGCTTCGGCCACGCACTTCAGGTAAAAATGGAGTAAATATATAGCAAGTACAGTCAGATGCAGTAGAAAAACATCCGTGTAGGTACTTGCAAAAAATAAAAATACTACACCGTAATGATTCATTCCTTTCAAATAAAACTGAGTTTATCGAAGCAGCTCTACGCAGCGATTTAAATCAAATGGATGATGTTTGCTTTACAGAACATTGGTTATTTCATAATAAACTTGGCATTTTCCAAATTCCAAACTTTTACCTAGCAGGATATTATTGTAGAGAAAAGGAATCAAATAAAGGACTTGCATATGGAGGTTCTTGTATTTATGATCGAAATAATATCGATTCTATTTCCTTGACGGAATTAAATGTATATTCCGTTGAAAATGGTTTTAAAATATCTGTAGTACATCTTCCGATGCTAAAAATTATATTACTTTGCATCTACAGGCCTCCAACAAAAAACTAAAAATAAATATTAGAGGTTTAGATGAATTTCCGGATTGTTTGTGAAAGACTTGTGCGCCTGCCAATTTACACCTGTTAACTCACCTATTTAATGTATCCTTATGCACAGGAATTTTTCCATATTTTTTAAAACGGCTACGATGAAGCCGCTTTTCAAAACAAGCAACAGAAATAAAATTCAAAATTATCGGCCAATTTCTCTTTTGCCAATTTTCTCAAAAATATTGGAGAGACTTTTGTACGTTCGAATAAAAACCTTTCTTAGTAAACAAAGCCCGTTTTCAGATTGTCAATATGGGTATCAAAATAATAATCTACGAAAGCAGCCATATTTTCTTTTCTTAAAGATGTCGTCACATCCTTACATCAAAGAAAGCCACTATTGGAATGTTTTTAGATCTTTCAAAAGCTTTTGCAGTCATTGATCAAAATATTTTACTTTCAAAATTACATTCCAATCATAATTACATGGGATTCGTGATATTGCTCTAGATCGTTTATGTTCGTACTTTAAACAACGATCTCTGAGACTAGATATTGTTTCTGGAATAATGGAACATTATGTACCCACCTTTCCGATTCTTTGCTAATCTCATGTGGAGTCCCGCAGGGTTCAATTTTAGGCTCTATTCTCTTCTTACTATAATGTAAACGATATGCCCCCGACGATTACAAGCGGAAGAACAGTTCTCTTTGCTGATACGAATTTTTTTTTTTTCAATAAAGAAACCGTAAATAGTACAATATTAGATTATTAAATTGGTTCCTTAATAACAAATTATTAGTTAATGAAAAGAAAACTGTTTTAAAGCAGTTTTCCATTTCAAATAAACAGCTCTGTACTCTTTTGAAAATGAACGCTGTGCCATTGACTGATGTTAAGGTAACGAAATTTTTAGGTCTTTCAGTCTAATTTTAAATGTCGAATTTCGTCAGGCCAATTTTAAATGGAACGTTGATCCCACTTTCTAGACAGGTGTCGCACACTGATTTTGGTCAAATGTTCCACGGTGATGAAGGACCAGTATCTCATTTGTGATCACAGGGATCATCTTAAAGTGCTTAGAAATGCTCTCGTCGCTCAGTGACGAAGTTGCTTGCCTTTCACCACTGAGATTCCGGGTTCGATTCCCGTAGAACCGGTGAAATTTGTTACGACAAAACGAGTTAGCATGCTTCACAGGGTCTAGCCCATCCCCTGTGAAGCGTCCTAAACCTTACCCATGTTCTTATTTCGTCCCAATTCTGGCCGATAGGTAGAAGACGCAGGGCGCGTGCAAGACGCGAGCGCGAAGACGCTAACTATCGGCGATTCCCTGACTTGACTGCGACTGACGTGACGCGACTACCCAGTGAGCCCTAGAGGGTGCATACGAAAGGAGGATTTTTATTTAACAGCGCAGCGAAAAAAAAGTTTGCTAAGAATGAAGCGATTCTCTCACAAATGTCAGTCATCAATGATTTTAGCAGTGACATCTGCATGGAGTTTGATCTTCACAAGTGAGCTAAAATCAATTTAAAGTGTCGTCAGAGAGCATTGACGTTGATACGCATACTGTGATTCAAGATCTTGAGCCAGGTAAAACTTACGGAAATTTGGGCATTAAAGAATGTGAGAATATCTCGAACGACACAATGAAAGAGAGAATTCGCTGGGAATATTACATAAGAGTGAGACTTGTCATGCAGTCCGCTCTGAACTCCCGGAATACAATATATTCAATTATCTGCAATATCTGTAGGTTGGCGGTGCCTGTAGTCGAGCACAGTTACGGACTAGTTGACTGGACTGAGTATGAAATTCGAATCATGGATCGAAAATCCATAAAACTGCTTACAATGCATCATGTCGCCCATCCTCGAGCTGATGTACTTAGTCTTTATGTATCACGAAAGGAAGGAAGAAGAGCCTCACACAAATTGAAGCCGCCTGGCAGAAAGCAATAGTCGGGGTGAGAAAGTATGTAGTCAGTCATCAAGATGACCCACTAATGAGGCAGGTCATGAAATCAGAACGAACAATTGGAAACAGAGGCATTCTT